TGAGAGGATTATGAGTAGTTTTTCCAGGTTTTAGTGTATAGTGCCCTGTGGCTTCTGCAGTAAGTGGAGGGTGAGCCTATGGCAGGGACCCATCCGAGCAAAGCCCAGCATTTATTTGCTCACTGGGACCCTGGCCAGGGGCCGGGGGCTGTATGGGGAGTCAGCATCCAGGCAGGAGGGGCAGAGGGGCAGGAGGCTCAAATAGGTGCATGCAGTGCGTAAATGCCTTCTAGACAGGTGAGCGCTGAAGAGGAAGCCATTCCCCACAGGGGTCCTATGTCCTACAAGGAAGTAGGAGTCACCTGGGACAGAGAGAGGGAACATCCCTGAGGCCTGCTCAGCCACAGCATAGGAGAGAAAAGTTACAGTGGGAAGAGGCATGAGGCTCAGCAGTGTTACTGGGACAGGCCATGCCAGGCAGAGGGGGACAGAAAATGTGTGCCTAGGGGCCAGAGCAGGAAGGATTCACTAAGGGGTCTGGACTTGTGTGGGAAATGGGGACTATTGAAAGGTTCAAACCCAGGCATGCTAAGGTCAGAAATAAGTTTTAGAGGAATTGCCCTGGCAGCAGGACCCCAGTGGGTGCACAGGAAAAGGATGGCAAGCCTGGGTCAGGGCGGTGAGGCAGATCCAGAATTCTCTAGGAGGTCAAATCAGAGGACATGAGGAAAGGACAAGTGAGTATTCAGGAAGGCCTCAAGTAACAGATTGTTTGTTTGTTTCACACAAATATGTCAGAAGGACAGACGACCAGGTTGGACTAGACATTCTGAATGCCTCCACCTTTGCCCTCTGCCATCCTCAGTGAGTTGTTTTTATGGCCATCTGCAGAGGCAGGTGCTTACATCCCAAAATGGCTGCTGCACCTCCAGCCCTCTCTCCAGGCAGGAAAAGGAGGTGAAAGCCATTCTCTTAGCAAAGTTTTGACTTCTTACTAGGGAAGGGATGTCAACCATCTCACTGGCCCGATTATAAAGCTACTTACTGATAGCTGCAAGGAAATCTAGAATAATGAGGTTTTAGGGAAGTATATTGGTTCCCTAGACAAGATCATGGTTCAGTTAGGAAGGTGGAGGGAATGAGTACTGGCTGAGCCCTGAGCAGCATCTGCCCCAAGAGCAGCGGAAGAGTCCAGGGGATGATACAGGTTTAACAGACCTAAAGTTTGAGGTGCCCATGGCATGAGGGAAGGTGCCCATGGCATGAGGGAAGACGCCCATCGCTGAAGATGGGTAGAAACATTGCCCCGAAGGCACAGATGTGGGTCATCAGCTCATAATGGAAGATGACCTTCCAGAAAGTTCTCAGCCCATTACAAGACTGCTCTATGGAAACCGTGTGACCTCTTGATCTACCAAAATAAGAACGTGGTGATGTTATCAAGCTCCCGGAAGGAAGAACGCTGAGATGGTCTCTGTCTGTGAACCTTGGCCCACCATAAGCTTGTCACCTTCAAGGCAAAGCTGTGGCTCCTGCCCACCCACCCCCTAGCAGGTCACATGGGAAGGGCACAATGGGGACATGAAATAAATGCCTAGGGTTGACTGGCAGGGAGGACAGCAGGGCCTTCTAGTCTCCACCCACCCTAGGGGTCAAAGCCTGGCCTTGAGCAAGACTCCACAGCCATCCTTGACCTTGGCTGTGTGGGAGAAGGAAAAATGTCCCGCCTCCCCTTCTCCCTCCACCAGCCTGGGTCTTCATCTGTAAACAGGGGCTGTGGGAAGGCACCTTCCTCTGGCCTCGTTAATTATCCTTTTTAATCACTCTGAGAAGGGCCTTCCCTCAGTGGTCTGCTCTCCTGCATAGTCAGAGTCAGGGCCTGCGATCTCATAGCGGCAGCCTGCCTGTCCCTGCCCATAGCAGTCCCTGCCCACGGAGCCCCAAAGACCCAAGAGCAGGCTGGCAATGCCGCCATCTTGACTGTCCCCTTGGCCAAAGGTCTTCCTAAGGGAAGGAATACAGCAGCCCCTTATCGTCTTCCTCAAAGATGCCCTCAACACATCTTCCTTCTCTTAATGGCTCTTCCCTGAGCTCCTTCCTACTCCCCGTTAGGCTGGGTCCACTCATCTCTTCTGGCCTCTCTCTCTCCTGAGATTCAGGCTCCTCAGCAAGAGCTTGGACTCCACGGGTTTCTCCAACTCAGCCAACCCCATGTCCCCAACTTGCCTGTGACACTTGCTGCTCCCTGCCTGAGACTATCCCAGGCCCCTGGAAATCCTGTGTCTCAGTCAAATATGTGGAAGTGGGTGGTTTATAAAGAGGTTTATTTTGGCTTTGACTCTGGAGGCTGGGAAGTCCAAGAGCATGTTACACTCCACACACACACACACACACACACACACACACACAAATACTCATATACACATCTATTCCTAGTTTATGTCCACTTAAGTTTCCTGGTTTCATGCCCTTTCTGGAGACCACTGTGGAGTGGACACGCAGAGTCTGAGCGCCTAGAACCCACTGCCCCTTCTCCTTGCCTCAGCTAACCTGCCCACTTGCAGCTTCAGGCCCTATTTGTCTTGGGCCTGTCCACAGGTCCCATATCCAGCCACCGCCATTGGTTCAGGACTGGGGACCTGACACAGATCAGGCCAATGACACAAGATTCACTGGGGGCTTCTGGGAAGGAAGTGTGCCGACATCAAACCAGAACCACTGGAGACCCGTCCAAAGATGAAGCTGACACCAGAGGACGGGGAACCAGGAGTGTCAGGGGAGTGTCACCTAAGTGCCCGCACACCTGGACACAAGGGGCCCAGCCAGGCTTCTGAGCAAAGGAACCCCATGTTTGGCCTCCCTTCACAATGTCCCTTCAGGGAGCCCACTTTTGGGGTTGGGTATGGATTTTTAAATTCCCAGAGGCAGGGCCAAAGGTCTCCAGGGCAGAAGAACCAAATAGTCACCCCAACATGGTTACCAAATCCAACCAAAGACAGGAAGCAGGTGGCCACAGGGTTTCTCTGGTCAGGTGTCCTAGCCACTATGGATGCCATGGGAGCTGGCAGGAGGGCAAAGAGACCAGGAAGAGTTCCCTGAGCTGGGATGGAGACTTCTGAGACATCCAGGGGCCCTTTGTGCAGAGCCCATGGCCTTGACCATGGGGTCAGTTGGGCCATTCGCACTGATAAGATATGTAGTTATATCCGTGTATTTTGGCAGTACTGGGGATCGATCCCAGGCCCTCATGCATGCTAGGCAAGCATGCTACTCCCAAGCCACATCCCCAGCCCTAAAGTGTCATGATTCCAGCTGCCAAGTCCCATGGGCTAAAATCCAAACTCCTATCAGCAACTTGGTTCATAACATAGAGAAGTAATAAATAAGTCAATCAATTTTCTAAAGACTTTCACAGATTCCCAGAGAGGCCCACACTTGCCAGAAAGCTTTACAACTGCCTCCAGGTGGTCCTGTCCCCCCACCACCACCCCGAGGCACCTGAAGTACTGCAGACACCCACACGCAACTGACCCACCTGCCTAGGCCTTGCTCCATCCAGGCCCGGCTCTGCACCATCACTATCTTCCCCACCACTCTCCTGGCCCCCGGAGGACAAAGAGGAGCCAGAGCAGAGGACTGCCTGAGCTGGGCTCCTTCCAACCCCCTAGCCTGGCCCTCCAAAGCACAGGGTCTTCCAGAACCTCCAGCCTCCATGCAGGGCCCAGAACCCACCCTGGCCTGGCCCCTGTGAAAGCCAGGCCCTGCCCAGGGACTAAGCCTCCTTGGCCACTGATCGACACAAATCAAGCCAGGCTTCTGCAAACGTGCCAGGGCCATGCATGCCCAGGTGCCAGGTGTAGAAACTGGTTCACACGCTCCTGCCTTTTGTGCCTCATTCGGTCCTGGTCTCAGCTCAGTTCTCTGCCCAGCTGGTCACCTCCCTAACCTCTGGTCCAGGCCGCCTGGCTCTGAATTTCCCTGACAGGAACCTAGAGCTACCCAGCTGTCCAACACAGACCAGCTGAAGCTCAGGGGGAGCCATGAGTGTGGCCCTCGCACCCTGCACGCTTGCTCTAGGCGCTGTCTCTGGAGACCTGACTCCCCTCTGGAGCCCCCTGCAGGTCCCCACAGTGGAGTACCAAGCAGGGCTTGTCCTGCCAAACTATCCCAATTGCAAGGGTCAGAACTGCCTTGAAGGTCAGGGGCAACAAAGTCACCATCTGACCTCTCTTTGAATCTCATATTGTCGTAAACTTAATGCAAATTCTTTTTGCTAGGTGTTTTAAATGACTATGTTTTCAATGTTCACACTGAGATAAAAGTGAAGATTTCTCCTGTTGCCACCCTGGCTACAACTCCTCATACAGTCCAGGGCACACACACAGATTCAGAAGCAGTGGAACTGGCCAGGTCTGGGCACCAAATCCAGGTCCTCCAAGGGAAAAAGGCTGTCAACAAGGAAAGAGGGAAGGAGGGACGGAGGGAAGGAGGCAGAGAGACACAAAAAGCAAAATCTTTCAAAAGAAAGAAATGAACCCTCTGTTTGCTACTGCTGTAACTTCTACTGTTCCTGAAAGTTATGGATGGCAGATTCAGCACTATCTGTCACCCACAGCACCCATCAGGGCCAACAGCAAGGACACTTCTGCCACCTAAAGCAAAGTCGAGAGATTTTACTCTAAAATATAAAGCTCAGAGTCTTCTCACAGTCACCTCCTTTTACTATCAGTGCAAATTTGTGGGAAGACAAGTTCTTCCCATTTGCAAGTCCAGGCTGGTTCCTGGGCCACGGGCACAATCTCCCTTAGCTCCTGGGAAGGCCGGGCCACAGCTGCGTGTCATCGAAGGCTGCTCAGACCGGCCCACATCACTGATGGAGCAGAGGAGCTGGGGCTGCACTCAGTAGGGGCCGCAAGAGGAGGGTGAAGGTGGGCCAGCGCCCAGGCCCCTTCCTAGTCCACCAGACTCTGGACAAAGCACTCGGACCCCCTTTCACCAGCAGGGTCCCGGTTTTCTCCTGTGTGGACTCCTGGAGTCCTGATACAGATGATGGGCGGGGGTGGCAAAATAAACACACAGGCTTTATTTATTATTATTTTTTTTAGTGTTTTGTCAGTTTTGTTGTTGTTGTTTCTTTGTTTCGTTTTGTTTGAACACTAAGGTTTATTTTCAAACAGCACACGGATGGTCTGCGGGGCAGGGCCAGGCAGGGCCGGTGTCTGCGCCCACCCACAGCAGCTGCCAGGTAAAGAAGACCCTTGCCCAGGTGGCGCGGCTGAAGCTTCAGGCAAGCGTGGCGGTGACTTGGCGGCCCCCAGCCCGCCCTGCAGCCGGGCACACATGCGGGCACGGAGAAGGGTGCCAGGAACTCAACTAGGGACCACAGCAGCTTCAGAAACACTGGTGAATTCTACCAGACTGGCCAGGATTGGGCTTTGGGGGGAGAACAACCTAATCTTTGGGAGAATACCTTTCGGCTTAGGTCTCTCGTCTCTCGGTTTCCCTTTGCTTTTTCAAAAGTTTAAAAACGAAAACGAAAAAAGAGAAGAAAAAAAAAAAAAGAAAGAAACACACATTTTTTGGGGGGGAGGGGAAAGGTGTTCTTCACACGCCCAGAGGACTGCAGGAACTCCGCCGACACGTCACTGCACCCGTTCCGTGAAGTTCTCAGGGAAGACGCCCCGGCATTTTTCCAACTCCTTGTGCTGGTTCCAGTCACTCTCCTTTACGCCCATGAGCCAGCCTTCATCCTGGTGCAAGGAGAGCACCCACATCACACAGGGATGAGGGACAGAGGGCACAGAACCAAACAGGGTTCCCTGGAATCTCTTGGGAAGATGGTCCCTCTTCCTTCTCTTTGCCTGTCAGCCTGCCCAGCCCACCTTGAAAATGCCTCCTGATGCCTCTTCCTGAGACCTATACCTACCCCGCAGGAGCCAGCCTGCCCTCAGTGGGTGGGTTCAGGGTTAAACCTACGCCTGGTTTGGGTGAGCTGCTCTTTCCTAAGACAGCCTGACCACTACACTGATCTAAACATGCCAAACAACACCCCCCGCCCCAGTCCCAGGGCTTCATACCACCCAGTGCCCACAGAGGACCCGTCCCTGGGGAGGACAGCAGCACTCCTTCCAGGTTTCAGATTTCTATATACAGTACTGGAAAGATCTAGAAGCACTCACCAGTTAAAAGCTACTAGAAGGTCCCCAGTCCACCCTATCACGTGCTTCACTCCCAACTTGCCCTTTGCTTCACTACTGACCCCTAGCAGGGGTCTTCTGTCCAGAGCTTATCCTGGAACTGAGTGACTGTCCATCCCTGCCCACAGCTGCTGCCCCTGTGGCTGGACTAGGCCTGGGAACTTCCTGGATCTTTGTGATTTACCTTTGTGTTGTTATCTGCCTTGTCCTATGTAACTCTGATGTCCTATCTGAGCCCAGTGCAGCCACCCCCGAACAAAACCTTCCTATGGGTTGAGGTTCAGGGTTCTCCTTCTTGAAATCCCACGCAGTGAGGGCAGGCACCCTAGAGAGGTCAGTGGAGACCTGGGGGTTTAGGAGACTCAGTGGGTTCAGGCCCAGGCCCCTTATGCCCTGCCAGCAGGTGCTCAGTGCTGAAACTAAGGGCAAAAGCCATATGTCCCCATGGGCACCAAACACCCCACAAAGGCTCCCTTGCACCAAAAGTGAAGTCCTTCTGAGAGCCCTTAGCCATCTGAGCAAATCAGCTGGCCCAAACCTACGAGGGTCCTCTGAGATGAACTAATATGGAGAAGCCACAAGCGCAGAAGGCATCTGGGGTGAGACCCAGCTGTGAACACATCTGAGAAAATGGTGGCCCCGCGAGGACAGAGCAGGGCCAGCCTCGAGGGCAATAGCCAGGTGGACGTGATCAGAGAGAGGCCACTGCTCAGCCATTGCTCCGTCTACTGCACAGAGGACACCTGCAGGCAGGGATCTGAGCAAGAGGGATCCTGTTTGGGAGGAAGGTGGCCTGGGCGAGGGGTAGGTAAGGAGGGAGAAGGGGGAAAGAGAAAGCTGACAGAGCCTAAGAGAAAGAAATGGAGGCTGAAGGAAAAGAGGACACTGAAAAGCTGAAAGATGGAGAGAAGAGGGGCAGGGAGAAGAGGCTAGTGGGAGAGGACAGGATGGACAAAAATCAGGATGAGAGTAAAGGGCTTTAGGGAAAGGGGAGGAGCATCCCATGAAGTCCTGGATCTCCAGACAGCGAGCCTCTGCTGCCCCCTGCAGGCCATCTCCGGCACCGCAGCCCGGCACCCACTCACCTGTTCCTCCGGGTTCTGAAAGGGGATCACCAGCACCACATCACCAGCCTTGAGCTGCAGCTCGTCCGTGTCAGTGGCCGTGTAATCGTGCTGAGCCTGCACCTGCAGAGGTCGGGAGAGCATGTCAGCCACCCGGTGGTCCCCCTCCAGACCAGCACAAGGCAGAGGCTTTGTACCGTGAACCCCTGTGAAATGGTGATGTGGGGCTCCGAGGCCACTTAGTGGATTGAAGTGGCATAGCAGGGATCGTATGACAGCAAATCTGAGAGGATGGCCCCAGCCCCAGGCACAGTGGAACAGTAGCTGGGTCTGCTAGCCTGGGCTCACCTTGAACATGAAGCCCGGGGGGAGGTCCAAACGGCCGGCCCCGCTGCTGCCTTCTACGGTGCCATTCACAGTTGCTGAGAACGTTTCCACCACCACAGCCGGAAGAGAACTCTGGGGACAGGAGACAAGTTAGCTGATCAGGGTGATGGTGCAGAAGAACAAGGGCCACCGGGGAGGGAAGGAGAGGTGTCTGTGCCAGGTGCCAGACCAGCCTGTCCCCAAACTCCTCAACAGGAACTGCAGCCTACGGGCAAGTAGCACAGGGGAGCCACAGGGAGGCAGGTGGACAGACAGACAGACGGTGGACACAGCAGGAAAGAAAAGCAGGGCTTTGGTCCCTGCCGTCTTACGGAGGCTGCTTCACTTGCCGCCGTCTCCCCAGGCTCCTGGGCTCCAGGCGCAGGCTGGGTCCCACCTGCCACCTCCAAGGCCTCTGCAGGCTGCAACATAAATGCCGGCAAGGGGTCAGACACAGGACGGGATGCTGCAACCAGGACACAGGGAACAGGCCAGGGGAGGGCAGCACCTGAGTGGGAAGGCCAGGGATATTGGCCTGGCTGGTCTCCAGTTCTAGCATTGCCAGGACCTTGAATAATCTGGGAGCCCCTGCAGATCAGGCAGGCCCCAGACACAGGAAGATGCTGAAGAGGTGCTGGCAGGCACAGGAACACCAAGTGACGGGCATGCAGAAGCCTAGTGCAGGAACCCAGGATGCCACCCCAACCGTGCCTCGCAGGCCCTGTCCTCTAAGACTTCACCAAGTCTCAGCTGCCTCCTGTCCACCCTGCCCGGCCCAGCTGACCAGGCAGAAGCCTGCATCTATGTTCCTGTCCCCACAGGAATGCAGCTCACAGCAGGCAGGGCGGTCCTTTCCCAGCCCTGGACACTGGGATGCCCCAGCAGCCCCCAGCAAGGGCCCTGCAATTGGGCTGACCTGGGCCAACACAGACTCGGACACTTCCTACCCCTGGAACCAAGTTCCTCGACCTCCCTTAGCCTCTACTTCCTCACCTGGAAAAGGAAGAAGCGTGGCTGACCAGATCATAATGAAGATTAAGTGAGAAAATTCTGGAAAGTGCCTGGTATAAACTGGTAGGTGTGCTCTAAAATGGTCCTCCCTCCCCCACTCAGAGGGGGCCCTGCACTGGGGTGGGCAAGTGGGAGGGAGGCAAGATGTGACTCCAGCCATGTACACCCACGCCCCCTAGTGACCTTGTCCAGGGGCCTCCTGGCTCAGGACACCATCCTCACCCTCAGGCTCACAGTGGCCTGGTCCATCCTGTACCCCCTCCTCTGGCCTCTTCATCCATGCTATATCCCCAGAGATGGGGACAAGCTGGACAGGGGGTGGGGGTGGGCAGGCACTTACTTGGGCAGACCCCTGCTCGGCCGTCTGGTTGGGCCAGGACACAGCAAATGTGCCCTCAGCAGCACCAGGCTCCCCGGATGGCAGGCTGCCAGCTGGACTCTCTGTGGGCTAGTGACAGGCCACCAGAAGAGAACGGGGCAGGTGGGGAAGGGAGGAGCAGGGAGGCCAGGTGGGAAAAACGTTGGGCAGGGGGCACGAGACAAGAGAAGACCGTCATGAGTGGCCAGAGTGTTGACGGGAGGGTGTGGGTGCCTGAGGTGGACAGTCTAGCCAGAGCCTGAGGGCTCGCCTCTCTCCCCCTTCCTTATTTCTGCATTACCAAGGCAACGGTCAGGTGGGATGGGAACCTGCAGTTCAGCATCCACAGAAATCCACACATGAAACTCGCCCTGCCATTCAAACCAGGCTTGTCTCTGACAGCTCAAGTAAAATGCTCTCCTGGAATTCCCAGGAGCAGCACTGGGGTGTATGCCCTCAGAGCATGACATGCCACATCCACTTGTTCCTGCCAGGGCCTCAGCTTGCATCAGGAGGTCTCAAGGACCAAGCCCATGGGGAATTCTGGCTCAACCACCACCAGCCATGGGTCCTATTCCAAGCCCTCCCTGGGCCTCAGCACTCTGAGCTATAAGCTGATGGGTGGCACCTGTCCCAAGTGAGCTGGCCTTGTACCTGCCCATAGTCACTGCTCTCGGAAGACACCAGCCCTGCCCTCACCCACCAAATGGCTCCCTGATGCCACTCTGCATTCCTCCACTGCCAAAAAGAGCCCTCCACTCCAAAGCCCTCCTGCCTCACAGGTCTCTGCCCACCATAAAGAACCCAGTCCATCCTAGGTGACCACCTGGCTTCTTGTCCACAGGCAAACACTCACAGGCCTGAGGACTGTGTCACATCATGGAGGGGACCCTCATCTCCAGTTAAACTGAGGAGGCCCTTTCCCATGGTGATGACCAGGAGAAGCAGTAGATCAGCTACAGAAGCAGCCTCAGTGGGCTCCCTGTGCATGTGTGCCCACGTCTGTGTGTGCTGCGTGGGTGAGTGTGCCAGGTGTGTGCACCTGTGAACAGGAGTAGGGGGTGAGTGGCCTGGGCACACAGAGACGCAGCTCCCCCGGGTACAGAGCAAACACAGCTTACCTCCCAGAGGTCCCACGGAATTGACTGAGCGCAGCAGTGGGGGAGAAGGACAGAGTTAGCATGGAGGTTAGAGACAGGAGAGCAAGCAGTCCACAGAGAACCCCTACCCCAGGGCTTGGGTACAGCAGGAACAAGAGCTAGGTCTGCAGCTACCACACCCCAGGTCAGGGAGTGGCTGCCAGGACAGGCAGGGTGCTGAGATGAACCAGAAGTTGCAGGAAGTATTTAACCAGCCCTCTTCTGAGGGGCGTCTGATGGCTAGTCGGGGTCTGTTTTCTGCCCTGCGCCTAAGGGAGCAACAAGGGCTGAGAGTCAGGAAGCAAGGTGAAGGGCAGGGCAGTGAGTGGGAAGAGGGCCTGGTGATCTGGGACCCCCAAACCTTGAGCCTACGTGGCCACATAGCAGGTGGGCAAACATAAGCCCAGACCCTGGAAGTTGGTGGGCCTGCGGGTGGTACTGGGCACAACCAACCTGACCAGAGGGCGTGGGCGCCTTCACGGGGCTTGCCACGGGTGGCAGAGGGTCAAAGTCCAGGTCCAGCAGACTGGCCTGCTCAGAGAAAGGCCCCGGGGCCTCGAACTTGGCAGCAGCAGCAGCAGAAGAGGAAGGTCGTTAGTGGCAGGCTGAGCACCTTCACCTCAGGTACACACAGCAGGTGAATACAGACCCCCATCCCAGGCTCTGGCCCACCCACCTCACACACATATACTAAGGAGCACTACCCGTGACCACAGGACCTGGCACAGGTCCCCCTCACATAAGGACAACACCTAGCACTCAGCACTGGACATCCAGCAGCAGTCCCGCCATGAGGCAGCCACCCCGCAAGACCAAGGCAAGCCCCAGACTGCCCCCATCTCCATCCGCTGGATGGGGCAGGCTCCTGTGCTCCTCTTCTTTCTCCAAAAGCTCCATTGCACACCAAGAGCAGCCCTAGGCCACAGCCTAGCTGGACAGGATCACCCTCAGTCTCCCCAACCTGCCGGCCCCAGGGTTGGGAGTTCTACACTACTTGTCCACGGGGAACCCCAGTCAAGTCACCCTCTGTGTCACCTACCAACCAGCTGCAGGGATGGAGAAAGGGTTGAGCAAGCCCAGACAGCCTCAGAGGCCAATCTCCAAAGTGGGGTCCCCAGTGCTAGGGGCTTCAGATCCACCTGGAAAACCTGCATTAAAGCTCGACTCCACCCCTGCAGCCACCACCAGACCCCTATTCAGTGGGCCCAGCAGCACGCATAGAACAGGCTCAGCCCCAAGGGAGAAGCCCACTGTACAACAGGCCACACCATTACAGGGGGAGGTCTCCCCAGAGCCCCCAGGGGAGGACCCTTGGATGGCAGAACTGATGACTGGCTTTGAAGAGGCCCCTGAGGCTGGTGGGGGGCTGGGAATGCACCAGCACTCAGGGGACAGGGTGCTTTTAAGGAGGGGCTGGACAGTCTGCAGCCTTCATCTTATTATACAAGGGATTTCCTTCTTTCAGGACCAGAAAAGACTTTATCCAGATCCAAAAGAGGATGTGGCTCAGAGTTCTGGCTCTCTTGAGCCCTCATGCAGTACTGGGCGGGTCCCTAGCCCCCAAAGCCCAGGCCAGCCAACTCCCTGGCCTACTCACTCTTGACAGGCACCCAGCACTAAGAGGGAGTGCCCTCCAGGCCAGAGTCCACCACAGAGCCTCCGTCAAGGGCCTGAGACTTGAGGTATGGGCAGTGGCTCTCCAGAGAGGCCTCCTGAGAACACTCACGGGCATCCGTCCCCCAGCATCAGGCCTTCCATGTCAGCAGGTCAAATGGACTGACTCCCCAGAACCAGGGGAGCCCAGGCCTACCGCCAGCAGCTGACTCTCCTTCAGGTCCAGTCCTATCTGATGGGCCTGAGTCAGTAAGGTCACTGCCCCACCTCACAGCCAAGCCATCTCTGAGGATTGAGTACTTAGGACACCAATACACACAGCCTCCAGGTACCTCCCACCAGCAGGGGGCCAGCGTCCTCCCCAAGCCCCACCCTGCTTCTTCAACACCCTCACATTAGTCGGCTAAGTCCAGACAGCAACTCCCCTAGTGCTCCCAGGGAAGGGTCATCAACCACAGCATTGACCACTTGCTGTATTGCTCCTGGCAAGTGACCCTCGCCCCGCACCATGCATGACTGAGGATCCTTCCTCACAGGGACACAGGCTACTCACCACATCACAGCAAAGAAGCCCTGGTAGAACCTGCATCATGGATGAGGACAAACCCACCCCTGCCCCATGCAGCAATACCCCAGGTGGACAGCTGTCCCACCCCAGACCAGAATGGATAGCCCTACCTCCCTGGATATGGATACAAGGGGTGGCAAAGGACACATGCAGACACATGGGGGGACAGAGACACACAGAGTCATAGTCTGGGTATGAGCAGTCTCTAGCCACCTCCTGGCCAGACCCCTCTTCCCTGTCTGAGACAGGCTGTCAATCAGGCCTCACCTCCTAAATGGGGGCAATGCTCCCTCCTAGAGGGTGTTTGAAAACCAAAGGATGTACTGCAGGAAGCAGGTGGCACTACTTGGTTGGTACTTAGTTGCTCTCATGTCATTCATCTCCCTCATCTGAAAACGTGCTGGCCAGCACGTCCAGTCACCCTCAGGCAGGGGAGGGCTGTCACTGCTATTCCTACCTCCCTGTGCCTCCTTCTCAGAAAGGTTTGTATGCCTCCTGGGCCGCTGGCATTGTGTCACACAGCCACCTGCCAGCAGTCTTGGTGCCAACCTGGACCAATTGTTCTCTGATCCCACCTGCCCTTCACCATGCTCATGGGCCTCTCCTCCAGGCTTCTGGGCTTGTGCAAAGGAGCCTGCTGGAGGCAGAGTCGAAAGACCTCCCGGGCGGGGCTGCAGGCAGGCCCGAGAAACCCCACGGCACAGTGGCCGAGTCCTCCACAGTCTGGTCTAGCACCACTTCCATCAAAGGTGAGGCCCTGCAGAAGGGAGGCTGTGAGGCCTGGGGAGCCAGCCTCCAGCGGGAAGTTCTCTGGGGGTTGCCCCTGAGTCCATCTGATAATGTGTCAGCCCAGTCTGGTGCCAGCGAGAGGTTGTTTCGGTCCTGAGCAACACTCCCTGCTGTGCCCTCCTCCTGTTCATACATGGAGGGGCATTACACGACTTTTAGGACATTTACAAGCCAAAGTCTCCATGCCAGGCCACTCTAGGGTGTCCGACTGCTCTGACCAGCTACTCCCACTGCCCCCACCCCCATGTTATTCTGGCTACAGTAATCCCATCTCCCATCCCTCCCAGACTCTCCGCTATCTCTGCCTATGGCTCTCTGTGACTAGCCACTGAGCGAAGGTCACCTGCTCCAGGAAACCTTCCCTGGCTGCCCCAAGCCCTCCACACTCCCCACCATAGCATCAGCAGAGCTGGCCCCCAGAGGCAAGGGGACAGCTGTCACCTCCGTATCCCTGCATCTGGCCACAGGACATGCTCAGAGATGGATGATGGACAGTGATGGAGGAATGACGGAGGTGGGAGGGCGGATGAATGAGAGAGGCAGGCGCAGACTACACAGCCAGATTCCTGGCCCTAAAGACAGGAGCCCAGGGCATGGGATGGAGGATGAAGATCATGCATGCTCCCAGAGAGCGGAGAGCGAGAGGAGGGGAGAAGACTGGGCCGCGGCGGCCGCGGCTGACCTGGGAGGGGGTGGTCACGCTGATTTCGGGGACAAACGCGTCATCAAACAGGCTGAGGATCTGCTCCTGCTTGATCTCCTTGGACGGGGTGTGTTTGGGGGGCGGAGGGACTGGTGGACCTTTCCGGAGCTGTGGGTCCGCAGGCCAGGGGGCAGCGCAGGAGGCAGAGCAGAGCGTGGGGGTCCGGGGAGACAGAGACAAAGCCAAGGTTAGTCACACCCCCAAGCCCCCAAGCCCCGGCCCCACGCAGGCAACTGAGGAAAACAAGGTCAATGAAGAGTCACTGCTCCCAGACCCAGACACCAGGATTACAGGCCACCCCCAGGAGGGAGACCAAGGCAGGAAGTCCAGAAATACTGTGCAGGAAGAAGAAAAAAGGAGAGCGGAGGAAAGAGAAAGAGGGAGCAAAAGAGAGAGCTAAAGAATTGGTAAGAGTGAGCGCTCAGGCCCCAGGACCTCTGGGTGAGGTCTGGCGCTCACCCCTGTCCACCTCTGCCCTCCCACAGTCCACTCTTCCATCTCCCTGGGCCCAGGCAGGGCTGCCCCAGCTCAGCCTCAGTCTGTCCCTAGAGAGGCCAACGTGGGGCCAGGCCATGCAGGGCCACACACCTACTCACAAGGTGAGGGAACTCGTGCAGGCCACACAGTCCCCGAGCCTGGGCTTCCCCCTTTGTTGAATACCGGTGCTAATGGTCTCCACTGCCCAGGGTAGCTGGGAGGATTCAGTGAATGAAAACATGGAGAGCACTGGTATAGTGTCCAGCCCAGAAGAAGCGCTATTCACTTGGGCACTTGTCCCTACTCTTAGCATCATTATCCAAACTGCGCACTGAGTCAGGAACAGCATAGAAACCAAAAGGGTGCTCCCCTATCAATCCCACTTGGCTGCCCACTCCCAGGCCCCTCACTGGTGGGGCAGGTGGGGTGTGGAGACAAAACAGTCCAGAAGCCCAGGCTCTGTCCCCCTGGACCTCCCACACTCCCTCACGGAGTCCTCCCTCTTTCTGTCCCTTTCATAATCCCACAAGAACACCTGGTGGGGCTCCTTCCTCCAGCCCCGGCCAGGGAGAGGAGAGACTTCCGAGACTCAGGAGGCTAAGGACACCTGAGCACCTATCTAGACACGGAAGGAAGATGGAGAGAAAATCAAGGAGCCAAAATGCGGAAAAGCCAGGGAGCGAGGGAAGGGGAGGGAAAGGGTACGTGGGGACACAAGAAAGGAGAAATAGTCACAGACCTGAGGTGGGCCAGGGCCACTGGGCCAGCCTGGGCTAGGTGGGGGCCGAAGAGAACAAGGCCCAGGCCCAGGCCCCCGCTGGGCAAAGCCTCTGGCTCCAAACCTGTCCAGGCAGGGGGTGGAAGAGGAGGAGGAGGAGGAAGAGGAAGAGAAGAAGGAAGAGGAGGAGGAGGAAGAGGAGGGAGAGGAGGAGGAGGATGGAGACAGCAACATAGGAGCAAGAGAAAGGGGGGGCAGGGGACAGGCCACTGAGACAGCATGCCTACCTGAGATGGGGACTTGGGGATGGAGGCCCCGGGTGTGGCCCCGCTGGCTGGCTCTGGCTCATGGTTCACTCTGATCTCGGGGGTGGCCGCAGGGGAGCCATCTGGTGGAGGCGATGGGCTCTTGTTCCCTTTGGCAGGGGCATTGTCACTATGGAGGCAGGATAAGAAAGGGAGGACAATGTAGAGAGGCCATGGCATAAGAGAGATGCGCAGATGTGGCAGGTACATGGGTGTATGCCTAAGAACACCTGTGTACCTGTCCTCTCAGACCCTGATGTGGAATTGTGTGTATGTAGGCCTACATGTCCCTATGGACCCGCGTGTGAGAGTAAGTGTACATGGTGCCTGCATGTCCCCAGGGTTCCACATGGGACAGGGTGTGTACATGGTGCCTGCATGTCCCCAGGGTTCCACATGGAAACAGTATGTATACGTGCATTGCCTGCACATCCCCCTGCATCCACGTGTGGAAGTGTGTGTGCACGCGTGCAGGTACAGGAGAATATGAGGTATGCGTGTCTTTGAGAATGGGTGGTAAGGAAAGGCCCTGGGCATGCACCTGCAGGAGTTCACAGTGGGGACCTGCCTTGGAGGCAGGGGCTGCACCAGCTGGGACTCCAGACCAGAGGCCTGTGATCCCTGGGGACACAGAAGGCACCTGGTACCCCAGCCTATGCTGATGTTGTCCGAGATCTGCAGCATGAGCAAGCCAGACACTCTAGAGGCAAAGTGAGTCTCCCCAACTACACAGCAGTCCCTCTATCAGGGGGTGGGGACCACCTCCCCGGCCTGCCCCACAGGCTGCCACCTCCACCCATTGCAGTCCATTAGTCCACCCATGATACCCTCACTGTCTCCAGACCTTCGATCCCCGTCCCCCTCAGCCCAGTGTGCCTCCCCAATATACTGCCCAGAGGCCAGTAAACAGATGGGCATGACTTCATGGCAGAAGAGCAGACAGACCAGAAATAAGGGGAAGGTCCTGGGCAAAGGTGTGCACAGTGGCCATTGGGTGTGAAGGACAAAATCATCTGTTCTTGCATACGGATGTTCTAGAATGGCACCGTCCAACACAGCACCCACCAGCCACAGGGGAGGCGGGTATTCAATCTAAATCAATTAACACTACGAACTCAAAGCCTCCATTACCCTGGCCACGTTTCAGGCATTCACTATGCTGGCCGGTACAGATCTAGAAAGACCAAGTCACCTGGTGGGGCTTGAGGACAATGTGAGACACATTCCTGGTACTGTCTTGTCTATTTTGAATTTGTTTTATGGAAATGTATTTGCCTCCTTAAAGAGAAATCAACATGACATATGGTATATACATGTGCTGCAGTGTCCCCTTCCAGAGCCTCCCCAGGCCTCCCCCTGCCACCTTTTCCACCTGTGAGCACCTAGGCAGTCAGGGCCACATTGTCATACTGCTACCTTGCACTCTCCTCCTTTCTACCTGACAGCTCCCTTGGTCCTCTGTCCCCTCCCAACACATGGCACAACCCAGTCCCTTGGGGCAGCACAGCACACGGGGCAGGTTAGAAGTTAGTGGCGCCCTCACAGCAGGGCACAAGGCACATGCACGATGTGGCCGGGTGCTGGCTCGGAGGCCCCCAGAGCAGCACTATCTGCCGGTACCTGTTCTTCTTTCTGCGCAACCGGGAGAACAGTTTACTTTTCTTTCTGTGGGGATGGACGGGACATGGAAGCCTTCATTTTGGGGAAATGCCAGGTGCAGAGGGAGGCCCCTTCCTCTGCCCTCCTGTTGGCCAGGAGAGGCCTGGACAGTCCATCCTTGGACCTGTTGTCAGGCCTAGTGCCCTGGTGAAACCCCAGTTCGGTGTACCAGGGATGCTGACAAGGCCCAGGCCACAGGAACCCCAGGTGGGCCCAGAGTGCCAGGGAGGGGTCAGCTGGGCAGTGTGCATCCCTGGAAGAGGAGGGCTGCACCATGGGCCAGCTGGGTCGAAAGCCAGGTCCCAAGTCTCCACTTGCCTCCCTCTGGCCTTGGGTGCCCTTCCCAAGGGGCCAGCCTGCACTGCCCAGGACAGTCACACCCGCGACCACCTCACACACCCTGGGTGTACCCACATGTCCCTCCACAGCTAGCAGGTGCCCTCCCTGGGGACCTCAGCTCTACCTCTTGGCCTTCATCCCAGCCTCCCCTACCCTCCACACCCCTCCTGCTGCCTCAGGCACTGGTGGGGCCCTCTCTCAGTCACTCTTGCATTCGGAGAAGGAAGAGGGGAGACACAGTCACTAGGCAGCACCCCAGGCACCCAGGAAACACCCACAATCACCCTGTGCAGAAACTTAGGCTCATGAGGGCTCTCTGCACCTGCTATGATGTCACACACACAGATATATGTCACTCTCACAAACACACTCGTACACCCTCACATGCACTCATACATTCACACACTTACACACACACTCATACCCACACTGTCACACATACATTTTCATACACACTCACACACTCATACATTCACTCACACACACTCACGTGCACTCATATACTCATGTTCTCAAACATGCCCATACGCTTACTCCCACAATCTCACCAACATACTCAAGTGTACTTTTGTACGCACTTGAACTCTCACACTCTCTCACACACATACACCCAGAAAGGGAGGGAAATCCCAGACTTGCTGTTGCTCCAACCCCACGGCCCCAACCCAAGGCACAGGGTTTTTCCCCTCCCCTAGTGGCCTCTCTCAGGAACCGGGGACCTCCTGGGCACCTGGTCCCCTGGGGCACCTGCAGAGGACAGGGAGGAGCTCATGTGGAGCATTTCATGCCAGCATCCAGGCTCGGGGCATCTCACAACAGCCACAGTGAGGAGTGGGCAGGGGCACCACCCTGCTCTGGAGTTGGGCTTGCTGTCCAGGGACCACTCAGTCCTGGCCCCCAATGCTGAGCAGGTGCTTCTCCACACCCTGACCTTCTCCACAAACGAGGTGGGAAACCCCGGGTTCAGGGACACACTGGAGGAGCAGCTGATCTGCCCTCAACCGCTGCCCTGTCACAAGGAGGCAGGGCCAGGAAGGTTCCCAGAGTCCCAGGGCCAAAACCCCAGGGGACCAAGAAAGGCACCTCAGGGTCCCAGCCATTGAAGTTGGCCATGCCGGAGCCCAGGCCAACCACGGCCTCCCCGCCTGCACACACCTGGGCTGGGCCTTGACTGTGAAGGTGTTGCTGCCATGCTGCTTCTCCAGGCTGACCAGCACGTCGTTGAGGTTCTGGTTGAGCTGTAGGGGGACATTGAGCAGATGGGGGCTCCACACCCGTACAGCCACACCTCCCCAGTACCACCTCTTTTTCCTTCTCCCAACCCGGCCCCTGCCAGGAACAAGCTCCTCTGTCTCTATGGATGAGAGTTGGGAAATGGACACCAAACCCGAAAAACCATGGGGAAAGAGAAAAGGGGAATGGGCTTGTTACTAACCGTTATTGTTTGTGGGGATCATCTCTTCTCTTCTTACTACTTATAAGGATGCCCCAATATTCTATATAAAATTTGCACTATTTCAACTTTTGGTTTTGCCATCACTGTTTATCCTAATGGTCAAGGTCGTTTTGCCAAGATGCTTTCAGACTGACAATAACTGCCAGGAATTTCACCAAAGCACAGGCAAGAAAGGCAATTTGTCCCATGCACCTTGTGGTTCTCATTACTGAGACGAGGACGCTCAGAGCTGAATTTTCCTCCTACTTACACGCAATTCTGCCTAGTGTTTTTTTATTTCCATGGACTAACTTTAGATAGAGAGATTTCCCTCCCCAAGACTTGTCATAAGTTGTCTCAAATCTTTGAAGGGAAGAAGGAAAAAATAAGAATGAATGAGAGACCCGAAAAGGCAGGAAGCCCTACTGAGGGTTGTAAGTCGGGAAAGGTTCCCAGCTGGCTTTTCCTCCACTGGCCCTGCGCTTGTAATCCACCATCATCAATCACTTAATTCCTCTGGGCCCAAGAGACAAAAGTCAGACCCACACCCATTGCATGGATCAGGGAAGCTGCCAACACTGGGTTTTTCCAACTGCAAAGTTAAACATCTTTGCACTCCAATTGCCAGTCCAGTCATGGAAATAATGCAGTGTAGGAATATCAGCTGGCCAGACCGCTTCTCACATCTGGCAGATAAGGCGGGCCTATTTCAACGTCTCAATTTTTTCCCCCATAAATTAGGAAACCGTCATCATTTCCTAACACTGAGCTCCATGAGCCAGTTTACAGTTTGAGGGCAGCTGATCCATGTCCCCCAACCTCTTCGACCAGGCAACAACAGGCTGCATGTGGGGAAGGGGCCAGGGCTGGATCTGGGATAGGCAGAGGGAGCCCCTTGAAAACAGGCACCAGCCAGTTCCTCCCCACAGCCCAGAGAGGGTAGTGGACTAGTGTACCCAAGCCAGGAAGGCCAGGGGGAGCCTGGGTGGCCCCATCCATGGCTATGACCACCATGGTCAGACCAGGAGGGAGCATGGTCCAGAGGCCCTGAGGCCCACAGGGGTCCCCAGGGCCTACCTTGCTCATCTCCTTGTGGAAGTTCTCCTCCAGGCCCGCGATGCTCTGAAACGTATTGACATAGAAACCTACACGGCTGGCGGGGGTAAGAAGAACACGGTTAGTAGACAGCCACGTGGCCAGCTTATCCACATGTGAACACACCCACCCTCATCAGGGACAAGCCCTGAGCGGGCAGGGGCCACCCCAGATGGACACGTAGGCTGGGCACTCCAGGTCGGCACGAGGGACCCCTCCTGGCCTCACCTGTTCCACAGGGATGGGAGCTCTTCCTGCAGGTCCACGTTCATTTCCTCAAACACCTTCTGAGCCTTGATGAGCTCCTCCTCGGCCTGGAGGGCAGGATGGGTCATTCCTCTCTCTGGGCCTCTGACCCAGCCAGCCCCTGCCAGCCCAGGGCAGGCCACCCCCATCCCCAAGGCCAGCCTGTCCCACTGCTACCTCCTGCCAATGTGCAGGGACTGGGGCTCTAAGCAAGGCAGAGGATGGACTGGATGTGGACACTCATCCAGGGGCTCCCATTGCAGCCTTTCAGGGTCCCTACACCCTGGTCCAGGCTGGATGGAGGGAGGTGCTCTAGGAAGTGAACCGGCAGAGCAGCCACGCAAATAAAGGGGAACCCTGGAACCCAGTGTGGGGGCGGCGTGAGGGAGCACACGACAAGAAAGCTAGACAAAGGGCCTAGAGAGTTACTCAGGAGGGGTGCAGAGGCAAGTCTCAGACCCGGCCAGGTGGGGTCCTGCCTGCCTCCATATGCACGCCCTTGGGCTGAGTGGCAGCCTGGGCTGCTGCTCTTGCTGACCCCTCCTGAGAGCTCCTTCCCTGTTCCTCAGGGCCAGCTCCTGCTCAGCCAAGGCCAGCCTTCCTTTACCTTCCTGGGACAGTCTTTCCCACCAACCCCTCTCTCTTCTGTGACCTACTAGGAGCAGCTGCTCAGGTACCTCTGGGACTGGCAGAGGGAGGTAGTGACTAGGAAGAAGGAAGCTAAGCTGCTGACAGATGCCAGTCCCCACTCCCCTTCCCGTGCCTCTCGGGTTGCTGACATCCGCCAGCGGGTGGCGCCAAGGTTCCATCACCCAGCCAGAGAAAGGCAAGTCAGATCCAGGCCAGGCCTGGGGAAGGGGCTCTGCTAGCTCACTTCTGGAGAGACACTGCTGGGAACAGTGACTCAGGAAGGTGACTCGGATTCAGGGTGTGAGTCACAGCCTAGGAATGTAGCGGGTCCCACCCAGGGGGAACCTCTGCCAGCAGCCTCAATTCTCAGGCCCAGTGGGGCCGGGGCCACCTTCTGGCAAAGGCAACCAGCTGCCTTAACAGCACTTTGCCAAAAGCCTGCGATTTCCCCAAGCCCAGCCCCGTTGCTCCACCCAGATTCAGGCACCAGGACCAGCCCTAGTGAGCCCCTATCCCAAGTATAGACCTAAGCTAGAGCCATTTGGTGATGGGGTGGGGCTGAAGAAGGGACCACCATGGCTTCTATACCTTTAGGTACTTGAAAGAATGAGCATGGATTCCTTATCTGACCATTTAAAATCCACCTTATAAAACTGAGAGGTGTAACAGAAGTGGGGAAAATATCCATCTAAACACACACCCATCCCTCAATCAGACTGGTGGCCCTCTGAGCACCAGGCCCTGTTCACAGGTCGCAGCCACATGGCAAAGAACAGGGCAGGTCCATTAGTGAGCTGCCAGATGTCAGGGCCTGTCTTTTAATCCCTTTAGGTCACATTCCTCATATTCTGGTTCATAAGTAGCACCTGGGGTTGGCAGAGAGTTGGGGGTGGTGGGCAGGGGAGACTGTCCATGGCTAGGGGAGGCCTTCCAGGCCCTGGAGCTCCCCTATATGCTGACAGGTCAAGGACAGATCCAAGATCAGCACCAGGTCATGCAGGAAGGCCTCAGGAGGCCATGGCAAGTATAGAAAGCACCTCAGAGCCAGCTCAGGGACACGTGGAGCTGGTCAGCTCCCAAGAGCACAGCTCAAGAGAACGCCCTGTCTCCCCAAAGCCAAGTCCACAAGTGGGGCAGCCCTGAGCTCCAAGTTCCCAGCTCATGGCCAGCCAGCAGCCCCCAGGTCATGTGAACAAATCCAACATATTTCCAACTTTCAGACAGGCCTGAGAAGAAGTAGGATATGCTCAAATACAAATGGGACCCATGATGGGCACTATGGTGGGGCCCTGTACTCTCAGCCACCTGGGAAGCTAAGGCAGAGGGATGGCAAGCTTGAGGCTAGCCTAGGCAACATAGGAGACCCTGTATCAAAATAGAAAATTAAAAAGGGCTGGGATATTGTTTAGTGGTAGAGCACCTCTGGGTTCAATCCCCAGTGCTGGGTCGGGGGAAGAAGAGCAGGGGGTAGATACAAGTAGGAAAGCCAGTTTGGGCAAGAAAAACATCTGCAACTCAGCATCCCAAGATGGGATCACATGCCTCAGGGGCCCCACCCAGCAGCATCTTCAGCCACACCCACCCAGGAGCCCAAATGCAGCAGGAAGGCTCCCATCCCAGGCCCCATAGCCTCCTAGGGGGCCAATCAAATGGTTTCACCTATTTCAGGGGAAAGTATGCAGGAACCCTGGCTCTGGCTCAGCAACCCCAATCCTCCCTCAGCCCCCTCTCCTCTACCTCCTCAGCTGACTGAGGAAGACTTAGGTCTTTTAAAGGCCCCCCACCATCTCCACAGGCCCTAGAGAGCCAGGGTCAACCTGACCCCCAACCTCAGCATGAGGCTATCAACACCCAGTGCCTCCAAAGTCAGTCCCCAGCTTTGGCCTGAAAGAAACCAGGCAGCAGAGGTCAGGTAAGAAATTGGGCGGCGAGCCACACCAAGCCAGAGCTTCCCACATCTTAGGCACTCGATACATGTGGGTTGAAGATGATGAAATCAGGAGGTGGCCCAGGAAAAATAGGGCAGCTGCCCAGAGAGAAACCCAACCTCCTAGGTCAAGCCTGTCACCTGCCTCCATCACAACACACACACACACACACACAATGAAGGGTTCTGGAGTCTTGTCCAGGCTTCATCTACACCAACCTGAAAAATAACAGGTTTCACTGGACAGAAAATCACGTGGCCCACCTCTCACAGGGCACCATCTCCAGTGGTCTCAGTCACACCAGCCCATTCTAAGGACAGGACACTGAGAAAAGGAAAGTATCTATCGCCAGGGTGGTGGGGTAACCCACGAGTTTTGTACAAAGAGCCTCCTCCAGGAAGCCCCCCAGGAACCCTGTGATGCTGAGCAGCTGTCCTCAAGAAACCTTCAGAAGGCCAACCCTCCAGGACCCTGATCTCTACTTCCAGGTCTCAGCATCCCAGTCAGACTAGGGAGCCTTCTCCACGCCCCCTCCCATCACCTCAGTCCTGGGCTAGCTGTGGCAGGGCCCAGCCCATGCAGCCCCAGAGAGTGGCCAGGTTAAGGACCCAGTAGCTTGAGTCAGGTGAGATCCAGCTATGCCACTAGCCAGCTCTGGCACCCAGGGCAGGAGACTGGGCCTCTCTGGACATATCTTCCTCAGATATGTCTCCCTGGTCAATCCAGGTAACCATGGAGTTCTGTGAGACTTGAAGGACGGCTCACACCAGGACAGGAGCCCTAATATCACCTCCCTCCTCACGGAAGCCCTGGGAAACGACAAATGGTTCAAAGGTATTCCTGGGTTCCTGGAGCTCTGGGACAAAAGAGGAATCTCCAGTGGGCTGCAGCCCCTCTGCCTCTACCCACCTTGGACATTCTCTAAACCAGACGTGTCTGAGAGTCCCCTGCCTGATTGTGGTTCGACCTCCGCCAACTCAGAGACCAGCCCTACCCCACAACCCCAGGAAGGGGCTGAGCCCTCCCCCACCCGCCCAGGGAAGCTCTGGGCACTGGGCAGGCAGGTGCCCAGTGAGAGGACAGAATGACAGACCGATAGACGGAAAGGCGCCAGCACGTGCAAGGTTAGAAGCCAATGTCACCTGATTTCGGAGCAGGTTAGTTTGAGCTACGAGATGAGCCTGCAGTTTGCCTTGGCACCACTGGGGGGCGGCTTTCTCAAGCAGCGAGACAGGCTGGGGGGCAGGGAGGCAGGTCAAGGCAAAGGAGAGTGGAGAGACAGGAGGGAGGTGGGGAGAGAGAAACAGACACAGAGGTTAAACACCAAGCCCACACTCCCCAAATGCACAGACAGACAGGCCCTGCAGCAAGAAAAAGGAACCTGCCCAAGGGGGCACGAGGAGGGGGTGAACTCCAACTGCAAAGGCAAAGTGAGAGTCGTTAGCAGGGCAGAGGGGCTCAGCAAGCAGGGTCCGGCCCCAGGGTGGGAGGAATCCCACCATCCCAACCCCCTTACCCAGTGGCCAGTGGTGGCCGGAACTGTGACCAGCCCACCAGCTCGTTCCAGCCAACCCAGGGTCACGTCAGATCCCAAGACAGAAATCCACCCTGCGCCAGGCAGGGTGGTGGCACCATTCCACTGAAACCCAAGCTAGGTCTATTCTCATTCTGGAAAGGGGCCTCAGAATCTCAGAAAGGGCAGAGAGGCCTGCCAAGGGCAGGCAGGAGCCACAAGTGAGCCCCCACCCGGGCACCCTGAAGGGCCTTCCTCTCTGCAGCCCTGGACCATTCCCACCCCACCCCATGGACCCTGGACTATCACCCCTCCCCTCCCGCCATCTGCCTGCCTCCCACAGACTCCCCTGACCCTTCCTCCAGCCTTTACCTTGGCGATTTTGACTTCATCTTTCTTTTTGGCGGTTTGAAGGGACTCATAGTGGTGTCGGGCACTGTCGTAGTCCACCAACTTCCGCCCTCGCTTGGCAATGCGTGACTGGGGGGCAAGCAGAGGAGGAGGGGCTGAGCGGGGCCTGGCACCCACAAGAGCCTGTCTCAGGCCTTCGGGAACCCTGGGTGCTGGAGCATTCCAGAAAGAAGGAACTTACCCCCTCCAGCGGCTTGCCCCTCTGCCTCAAATGTTTTCCTTAAAACACCAGCCAGTAATATGGAAGCCAAGAACCTTCTTGGCCTAGCACTGGGCTCCTTACAGATGCCGCTGGGCCCCTCTTCTCCTTCCCAAAGTACCCCCAATCAGTAACAGGAAGCCTGAGGCATCAGGGGGCAGCTCCTGGGGCAGCATGACCATGACACCCACACGCACCCAGGGACCAAAAGCCCAGCATAATGGTCACCCTCTCGGGCACCAGACCCTTGTGCCTTCATGAACACAGCACCCCAGGTCCCCTTTGCCTCAGTCAGGACTGGCGCACCGAGAGCTCTTGGCACTTACCCAGCCTGATGGAGGCAGCTGGCCTCGTCATCACACAAATACAGCCCGACAAGCAGACCCTGATAGCAGGCAACACTCACCACTCCACACACCCTTCCACACAAACACACGCCTGGGCCTCACACTCCACACACCTTACAGTCAGTCCCAGAGTCACTCCACAGCAACCTGGCCACACACAGGTAACACACCACGGGGCTCCTCCCATACCCTCAGACCCAAAGTACAGGAAGGGCCAGGTCTGTGGAGCAGGAGAGGTGGTGGACTGATCACAGAGGGAGTAGCCCCAGAAGGATGAGATGCCACACCAGGCAAATGTCACCCACAGGACAGAGTTGGCTGTGGCCTGAGCCAGCCCTGGACAGCACCTCTGGGTCTCCTCCTCCTTCCCCTGCCACTGGATGCCAGACTAGAACAAGTCAGATCCATCAAGAGGACTCTCACCTTAATGTCAGGAAACTGGCCCAAGTACGTGTCCATGGTCAGCAGCGCCTGGTCCACCAGTTTCTGGTGGTAGTCCATCCACAGCAGGTCATTGTTCTGAAATAGGTAAAGCATGAAAGTGGGCCTGCAGGGAGCTGGGCCATACCCATCCCCATTTCCCACCCCAGGGACCTGGGGGTCAGCCCCAGCCCCACTACCTTGAAGCACTCAGTGGATTCTCAGAGCCTCAGTGTCCCTATCTGTAATACAGAGGCAACAATTCCTGCCCTGCAGCTTCTCGTGGATGACAGGGAGGTGTAGTCAGTGAAGGAGACTTTGTAAGTCATGAGTCATAATACACAGAGCCTGCCACAATCCATTATCTCACCCCTCGGGTGACTGTGTCAGAAGAATGACAGCCAGCTTGCCCAAGGGCACACAGTGTGTGCACACTGGGGAACCAAGACAGCTTGTCCCAGAGGGTGAGGCTAGGGGACATGAGCTGAGGCTAGAAGTGCACTCCGGGAAGGGCTGAGGTCACCAGTCCCACGCTCACCTCAGCGATCTTATTGGCCTCGTCCCTGCCGGGCCAGTCGGGCTCATACACCTCCTGTAGACACTCGTTCAGCTTCTTGGAGGCTTCGTGCATGGCTGAGGGGCAGAGAAAAGCAGGTGGCCTCTAGTGACAGCCACCACCATTGCAGAGTTGGCCCTGCCATCCTGTCCCCAGCTCTGTCCCCATCACCCCTCACTGCCAGATCTGCCCTGCCTTTCCCTCACCTTTGACTGAAGCCAGATAAGTCCGGAGATCCTTCTGCAGCCGGGTGCCTTCAGTCTGTGGACAGAGATGAGAACCAGGTGAGGGCCTAGGGCACCCTCTGTCCCCAACTCTCCTCCCTGCTTCTTTCACATGATAAACAAGGCTGCTCGGCTGACCCCTCAGTGGGCCAGTATGGAACCCACCTCAGAGGACAATAGCTACGGCCACAAGCTCACACTGAAGAGCACTGCACTCCTGGCATCATCCCTGCCTCGAAAACCCTGTCTCCCCACCATGCACACTTTATAAGGCAGGAAGGCAGGGCCCCTGTGCACCAGATGACATGCCGGAAGCACAGCAGAATGCAGCAGGTTACTTGGGTGTGGAAGGACCAAACTGCACTCAGACAACAGGCACAGGAGCCCAGGCCAGGAGAGTGTCACAGCCAGCTGTGGTAGTGCCAGCTCAGGTAGGACCCAAGAAGAGACGGCTGCCACAGCACAGTGTCAGGGAAGGAGGCCCCAGTGTGGACCCTCACAAGACAGAGGGTCTAATGGCAGAGGACCATAGACCTCCAAGGACAGGAAAACTCCAGAAGGGACAGTGTCAGCAGGGGTGCAAACGGGGGGGTCATTTCCAGGACCCTAAAGTCGCTGGTCCAGCTGAAAGGAAGGATGTAGAATATAGAATGTAGGAGGAAAAGGCTAAAGAGCACGAGTGAGCAGAGTGTGAAGCCTCCTGAAGTGAGAACAGGGCCTCCGGAGACAGCAGGGCCAGCACAGAGGGTGAAACCAGCTCCACATCCTTCTGCACCATCAATACCACAAAAAGCAGGGGCCAGGCTGGGCACAGTGGCACACTCCTATAATCCCAGCGGCTCTGGCTGAGGCAGGAGGATTGCAATGTCAAAGCCCACCTCAGCAACTTAGCGAGGTCCTAAACAACACAGGGAGACCCTGTCTCAAAATAAAATATAAAAAGGGCTGTGGATATGGCTCAGTGGTTAAGCATCCCTGGGTTCAATCCCTGGTACTACTCCCCCTGCAGAAAAGAAAAGAAAAGAAAGAAATCAGGGGCCTGGGACACTGAACTCTGGGACAAAGAGGGGTGAATAACAGGTAAGAGGTCTGAGATGACCAGCAATGAGACGTGGAAAGTTCCAGAAGAAGTATGGGAAGAAAGGAAAGTATATACAGGTTTTGGAGCCAGCAGTAAGGCCCAAGTTAGTGGCCTCCCTGAGCCTAGGTGAATGACCATGCCTGACACATCAAAAGTGGTCTGGAAGTGGCTCCCATGAACCAGATTCCAGAGGCCTTGAAGACCACTCTCAGGAGATGGACTACAAGTGAGGAGGAGTGGGGGTTGGGGAGCAGGGACACAAGGAGAACAGTAATGGCTATGGCTGACCTGTGTTCCACAAAGGCACCCTCCTGGTCTTACAGGTGCCCATCCCAGCCTCAGACACACCCTTGCTCTGGATCCCCTCACCCTAAGAGGGCTTAGGGAGATGCAGGCCCAGCAGCCAGCCATGGTCCCAGGAGATTAGTCACCCTGAAGAGTGTGAAGATGCTCTCCACCCAGGCAGGTCAGTCCAAGGAGGGCAAGCAGGCTTTCCCACCTCCCTCCCCAGGCTCACCCTGGCTCAGCTCAGGTCTGCCCTTCCTCCCCAACGCACACAGAGCTCTGTGCACCTCACCTCAACTCCACTGTAACCTCTGAAAAGCAAGGATGCAGAGAGGGTCAGCGACCTGCCCAGAGTCACACAGAGACTCGGAGAGGCAGGGAGACCCTCCAAGGCCAGGCGGTTAGCTGAGTAACTGGTGACAATGTGGCCCCCATGAACACACGGATCTGCCTGTTAACTACAATGAATGCTTTCACATCGAAGTGGGGCCATGTGGCGAGTGGGGGGGGGGGTGGCTGAGAACAGCATATAAGATGTTATATAATAAAAAAAGGCCTCTCTAAAATTCCTTCGATTGCCCATAGAGAACATTGATTTTTGGAATGAATGGGGAATTGGCTCCAGAACCCCTTTTCAGATACCAAAATCCACAGATGATCAAGTCCCTTATATAAAATGGCATCATATCTGCATATAACCTAGGCACATCCTCTCGTACACTTCAAACCATCTCTAGATGACTCATAACATCTCTCATGTAAATGGTATGTAAATAATCATTATACTACATTGCTTTTGACTTGTGCTGGGTTTTGTTTTTTTTTTTTGTAGGTGTGTTGTTACTTTTTATTGGCTTTCCCCAAAAATATTTTCAATCTATCTGCAATCGGCTGAATCTGCAAATTCAGAACACACAGATAAGGAGGGTCAACTGTATAGTAAATAACCCTGATCAAACCTAAATGTGAGGCTACTGATTAAAAATCAAATGAAGAAACGAATGTTCAGATCTCTCTAGAATGCCAGCAAGGATGGGTTGTGCACCCTGCCCGACTGACCAATGAGGAAAGCTCCATCCACTCTTGACACTGCTCCCTAATCTAACAATTAAATGCTTTGTTGGGCGAGATGAGGATTCAAGTGTGTTCATGATGCAACGCCATTGGGTCATCTGATATCATAGAATCTTCCAGACCTGGCTTCTTTCCCTGCAAAGACTCCCCCTACCCAGCTGCACCTCTGGCCTGATCCCCACCTGCCTCTAGACGACACCCAAGTAAAGGGTTCCCCATGGGGTGGGCAGCTGCACTAACCGGGGCTGCTGGCTGTACCAGGGCCTCTTGTGCTTCCAGGACAACGCTGAGCTGTAAGCAAGCACGTGGTCTGCAGATGTGCAAGGGGCTGCCGGGAGCTCTGCCTCTCCTGTGCAGCTGGATCCCTAAGCCGCACTCGGCAGTCAGTCCTCGAGGTGAACAATGCCTTCCTCTGCCCTGGATCCCATCCAAGCCAGCCCCTCTTGGACCAATCAGAACTGTGTGTGCTCACTTCTAAACTGGCTCCCTCAGTCTCCTAAACAGGATGCCTGGGAAATAATTTTTTGGAAGCTTCTTGAGTTCTAAGCACACTCTTTGCAGAGCCCAGCTGGAGAAGGAGAAGATTCTGGGGCCACTGCCCAACTTGGCCTGTGGGAGTTAATAAGGACCTGAGGCAGTGCCAGAAAGGGATGGCTCAGCCATCATCCCCGAGCCCCTGCAGACTCAAGAACCCAGCTTCCTGGAAGGTCTGGAGGACAAGGATGGCCCCCTGCCACAAGGACCCCTCTGGCTCCAGCTCTGACTCTTGCCCCTCACCATTCAATGCTCGGGGATCAGTCTTCACTCAATATCCAGGGCTACCCACTGTGAGCAGAACCCAGGTGGGCCCCAGGTTAAAGAAGAAACCAGACCTGCCCCACTTCAGAGAGTCTTGGGTCCTGCAAGCTGCAAGGGGACCCTAAGAAGTAGAGCTTGGCCAACCTTCAAAAGCCAAGACGGTTTCCAGCTGGGCATGATGTGCAATGCTCCAGAAGTAAGGGGGCCAAGTAGGCCCCTATGGTCCCTCAGTGAATGGCCAGAAGACAAGGGCCTATGACCAGCACCAAACAGGCCCAGAGGGGCTCATTATGAGAGCAGGTGATGGAAACGTGAGCAACACCCTCTCCAAGGCTTCGCCCTCACAGGAAAAATTTTCTTCCCTGGAGACTAAATTCTCTGCTACCCTTGTCCACCCCTAATGCTGGGCCTAATGATACTGGGGCACACGGGTAAAGAGGCAGGAGAGTCTCGAGGCTTTCTGTACTGTCTCCATCTTGCATTTCCCGGCTCCCCACCAAGCCCTGTAGGTTGGCTGAGGCCAAATCCACAGCAGCTCCCTCATTTCCTCTCTCAAGGGCAGTGACCCTCACACCAGTCCCAACCCCAACATTCATGCCACACCCCAGACATCTGCATATACCAGTGGGTGCCATAACCTTCAAGGAAGGTGTTATAGTTTGGACCTGGAATGTCCCCCAAAGGCTCATGTATTGTAGACGTGGTCCCCAATGCAGCAATGTCCCGTAGTAGGGCTTTAGGGAAGCAAGTGAACTATGAGGACTCTGACCTCATTAGTGGATTCATCTACTAAAAGCTAAACAGATTATGGCGGGAAAAGTGAGAAAACATAATACCGCAGAACCGTATCTTCAACCTACAGCAGGTGGAGCATGGCTGAAGGAAGCAGGTCACTGGGGGTGTGCCTTGGTGACTCTATCTTATCCTTGGTTCCTTCCTGTCTTTCTCTCTTTCTGCTTCCCAGCTGCCATGATCTGAGCACCTTCCTCCACCACACCCTTCTGCCATGATATTCTGCCTCACTTCAAACCCAAAGCAATGGAGCCAGCCAGCCACGGACTGAACTCTCTGAAACCGTGAGCAAACAATAAATCTTTCCTCTAGTTGTTCTTGTCAGGTATTTTGGTCGGAGGAACAAAAAAGCTGACTTCCACAGGAGGGTTACCCCAACACTTGAATGAAACTTCAAAACTGTCCACCACCACTATCACCCCTAGCCCCGGATAAGTCAGTCACCCCACCAAACCTGGGGCAGACAAAAGCACCAGCTCAGGTGACCACTCTAAGCCCACAGCCAGGAAGCCACCAGCACTGGCTATCTTTAGCCCTGGCATCTCTACCCAGTACCTCTGCCCAAAGATCAGCGAGGGGTTATTTGTCCAGGACCAGGGACTCAAAAGGGGTCACTCCAAGGGAGGAGTAGGGAGAGCAATGTTGTGGCTTCAGCTCTAGAGCCAGGCCATGGGAACCTCAGCTTCCACATCTATGCTTTCTTTCCTCACCTCCACCAAACAGTCCAGCCTGCTCTGGGGAGACGCTACCATGCCCTCTCTGGGACTACAGCTTTCCCACCAACCCAGCCACCTGCCTTCAGGACTAGGGGTCAGCTCCAGAGAAGAAACTCAAGAATAAATTCAAGGGTCCAGGGTCTGGATTGAAATCCCCAAGTCCCCAAACCAGTAGTGTGGGCTTGAGAAAGTTTGCTTAACCTCTCTGAGCTTCAAGTGCTACATTTGCAAAATGAAGAGAATATTGGCGTCCATTTCAAGGGCTGCAAGGAAATGTCTACAAAACACATAACACCTCATGGCCCATAGTAAGTATCCAAGTAGCAGCAATCCCTAGAAGGACTTCCGAGCTGCCCACAAACTGAGGAAAACAGCTAAGAAGGGGACATATCTGGAGCTTCCAAGAGACTGAATCAGAACTGAGGCTTTAGATTTCTTGTTCAAGCCTTTATTTGATTTGAGGAAACTTAACACAGTAGATGTGGCCTGTTATGGGATCCACAAGGGTCTTAAAACACCTGTAATTTCTGGTCTGGAGGACAAGCAGATATGATGGCTCCCATCCCTGCTCTGGGAGCCTCTTGGGCTCAGCCTTTCTGGCAGACCAGGGTAGCTTGGCTCTGAGGCCTCCCCTAGCTTGCTCCCTAGTCCTCTCCCAGAATGCTATCAGCTCTCTCCCAGCATGCTCCAGAACCCCTCTCCCAGCATGCTCCCTGGCCCCCTTTCCCAGCATGCTTTCTGGCCCTCTCCCAGCATGCTTCCTGGCCTTCTCCCAGCATGCTCCAGGCCCCCTCTCCCAGCCATGCTCCCTGGCCCTCTCCCAGCACGCTGAAGGCGCCCTCTCCCAGCATGCTCCAGGCCCCCTCTCCCAGCATGCTCCATACCCCCTTCTCAGCATGATCCCTGGCCCTCTCCCAGCATGCTCCAGGCCCCTTTCCCAGCATGCTCCCTGGCCCTCTCCCAGTATGCTCCTTGGCCCTCTCCCAGAAAGCTCCCAGCCCTCTCCCAGCTGTTCTCTGTCACTCTGGAATGCTCCTAGCCCTTGGTCAGTGAGCTGTCAGTAGTCTCCAAAGGAGACCCCTTCCCCTGGGTTTCATTCCAGCTACAGAGGTTTTGATAGGAACCGTCAAAGACCACAGCCATGGAGAAGAAGTATCAAGAGTCTGTGCCCACCCAACCCCACTCTTAGCAGAGCTTAGATCCTGACCTCACTCCCAATGCCCAGTCCCATTCCACTGGCCACCACCGCTATCTGTCCTATACATCTCTATCTGCCCTTCTGAAGCCATAAAGTCATGGCCCAGATCTCCTTCCCTTCCTGCTACCTTGTTCTTCCCCAGGGAAAGAAGAATTGACAGGCTCATCTCACTCCCCCTTTTTCTGGACTTAGCAAATCTCCAGCGGGGAGTTTCAAGGACAGCCTAGTCAGGATATTCAGAGTTTTCCCTTCAGTAGGGGAGTCCTCCCTCATATCTAACCACTGCCCCATACTGCCAAGTGTGATTAAACCTTTTTCGGTCACTGGCCTCTAGCCTAGAATGGTCCTTGGTAAGGATGCCCTGAAAACCCCCTCCAGGTTTTATAAGCAGATAAGTAGGGGTCTGCATCCACTTCCCAAACTGGTTGGCCTTGAATGAATCACCTCACTTCTAGAACCTCAGCTGCTCCATCTACACAAGGTAACTATTCGTACAGGCCACCTGGGGTTGTTTGTAGGCATCCACCATCATCCACAGAACCCAGCCTGGAGCCTGTTACTCAGCCCAGCACCCATCATACTCAGCAGATGCCCAAATCAAATCCAGCTTGCTCTGCCCCCACACTAAATCCTGCAGATGCCACTCCCCTGGCATGAAGCTTCTGTAGCTCCCACTTGCCTTGGCATGCAAGCTCTTCCAGAGTCTGGCCACCAGCCAGTGCCCGCTCCCACCTACCCTCCCCTTCCCCCATCACTCTCTCTAGAGTATCCCCTGACCCTCTTCTTTTCCAGTGTTCCTAGCCAGTGCCAGTGCCCTCTCCTCCAGGTCTTTGGTGACACCACCAGCCCACACTGATCCCCCTCCAATCCCTCTTACTCCACAGATCTGGTCCTTCCCATTTTCCACATGGAAGCCACAGTTCAATTCCCATGAGCTCCCCAAAGCCAAGGGTCACTACACTCACCAGCTGCTTGTTGAAATTCTGGACGCACTGTTCAAACTGCTCATCCTTGGTCTCATCTGCCTTCCCCAGTTTCTGAAGGACCTGCCGAGACAGAGAGAGAAGAGTGTTATCATGAGAAGTAGAACAGCCAAAACAAGGGTGCTGATGTGCCAAGACCACAAGATGAGAATGAGGGGGTCTGCGGACCATATCACCCAGCCCAGGCACGAGGACCATCAAGAGATCTCCCAGCTGCTATGAGCTGAACCTGTCCCTCGTAGTTCCTGTGCTGGAAGCTTAATCCTCAATGCAGCGATGTTGGAAGATGGGGCCTAATGTAGGTAAGGGCAGAACCTCATGAAGGCATTAATGTCATTATCAAGAAAATGGGTTAGTTTTCGAGAGTCGGGTTTTGTTATATTGCTGATATCCTGGGAAAACAAAATCTGTGGATGTTCAAGTAGGTTATAGAATAACGGCCTGGTATTTGCACATAACCTACACACATCATCCCACAGACTTTAAGCCAGCTCTAGTTTACTTAGAGAACATAATACAATGCAAATGCTGTGTAAGACGTTGTTCTACTGTGTTGTATAGGAAATAACGACAAGAAAAACAGTCTGCACGCGTTCAATACAGACACAACTGCTGTGGGCCTAGCTACCCGGTACAAGAACAAGGCACAAGACAAGAGGCAAACGATGCTCAAGGAGCTGGAGAGGCAGAGTCTCTGGAATGGTGGGCGGATACAGGAGGGAGCACCCACACATTGCTTCATTCATATGGATTCCATCAATGCGTGGCAAATTCAAGTTTTGCTTGTCGGAACTCTGGAATTTTTTTCCCCAAATGTTTTCAATCCACAATTGGTTGGAGCAGAACCTGTGGATACAGAGAGCCAACCATAAAAGCTACTTGGTTCCTCTCATGCCCACTCTCTTGTCATGGGATATCTTCTGCCATCTTATGATTGCCAAGAAGGTCTCCCCAGGAGACCTTCAATCAATCTCGGACCTCCCTGTCTCCAGAAGTATAAAAAATAAGTTTCTTTTCTACTATGATTTAAATAGTATGCCCCAAGGCCCTTGTTCAAGGCTTGGTCCCCAGCCAGTACACTGTTGGGAGGCAGTGGAACTTTTACAAGGTGGGGCCTCGTTGGAAGTCACTGCCCTTGAAAGGGGTATTGGGACCCTGGCCCCTCCTGTTCTCTCTCTTGGCCTCCCTGCTGCCACAAGTCTAGCAGATTGCTACACCACAATGATGTACCATCTTGCTGTAGACACAAAAGCAACAGCTCAAGTGACCACAGCTTGAAATCTTCAAAACTATGACCCAAAATAAAACTTTCCTCTTTTTTAAGTAGATTATCTCAGATATTTCTTAGGATAATGGAAAGCTGACTAAGACATTCTCTTTATAAATCATCCAGCTGGAGTTTTCTGTTAGAGCAACACAGAATGGATGAAGATAGGAAGACAGTCCCTTGGGCTTTACAGCCTCCCAGGCTCCACCATCAGCCAAGAGCCTCGGACAGGCTTGCTGGAGGGATAACACCGGGAGGGAGGCTTCAGAAACAGAGTGAGTGGCCAGGTGTTGCTCATCACACACTTCCTCCCTGGGAGCTCCACCCCGACCTGGCAGCTGGCAAGGGAGCTGAGCAGGAGCGGGGCAGCCCCACGTCTCCACATGAGTCCACTGCCTGGGCTCAAGGGCCATGACCACCACAGGGAGCACAGAGAACCCTGAGCTGGCAGGTAAGCATCCCAGACAGAGGTGGCCAGGTCGAGTCTGAGGTCACTTGGAATCAGCGCCCAATCTGAACGGACTGTTAGGAGTGACCTGCTCCAGCCACACTGCTTCCTCCTTCATAACCCACAGGCAATGCCTGCCCGCCCCTGTCCTTACGGTCACACACACACTCTCACACCTGTACATTCACACATACACACGACCACATGCTTTACTTCGGCTGGAAACCTCAGAGGCCAACTCCCCCAACCCCCACCCCGGTCATTTACAGTTGTTCCTCTTTGGCTATGACTGGGAGAAGAAGCAGAGGCCAGAGGTAAGGTGGGAAGGTTAGGATAAAGAGGGAGACCCAAGGCCAGGAGACAGGAAGGATTTGGGGAAAAGCAGGAACTGGATCAGGAGGCCGACAGGAAGCCCTGACCAGAGGGCTGGCAGGTTCTCCCATACTTCCCTCCCTCCCATGGCCATGCTTCCTCCAACCCCAGAGCTCACTGAGAGGGAGAAAGATATAATAGCAGGGGAGGAAAAATAAAGAGGCAAGAAGGACAGGGAGCCCTAGGACAGGGGGCCAGTCCAGCAGCTGTCCAAGGCCAGCGGATCACCATGCACCATGTCCTCTGGCACGTCTTCCCTTTGAAGGTACCAAGGTGGGCCACACTTTCTGGAATGCCAACTTTGCCCACCCAGGGCCCAGCCAGCACCTGACCCACCTTGACTGGACTTTGCAAGGTGGTCACTGCCCTGCTACATCTTCCCTGGCCCAACCTAGGAAGCCAGTGCTCTCACTGGGCACTGGCCATCTCTCTCTGCCTACCTTGGGAATCTCTGCTGGAGCAGCATCCCAGTCGGAGACAGAGGGAAGCATGTGGGGCTGTGGTAGCCAGGGCAGAGATCAGACAGGGGAGACTGAAGAGATGAGGCACATCACAGACAACAGTCAAACCTCTCAAGGCCTCCACAGGTCACCAAGGATGGAGAGAGGATGAGAACGGCGGACAGGAGGGCAGGGGTGGATATGAGGGTGCTACAGGACATAGCTGGGCAAACACAGCTGGGTGCCAGGGACTGACCCTGGGGTGAGAGGAGAAAATCAAAGCAAAACCTCCATGAGCCAAAAAAATCAGCACTCAAGTGCCTCATCTGCAAAATCAAGAAACTATCCACACTCACCTCCCAGATTGCAAGGATCATGTCTGTAAAACCTCTGGCAGGGCCTAGCCCACCATACTCAAAAACACCAAGTCCCTTAAATGCCTGCAGGGCAGCCTCACACCACTGGAAGCTGGGTCTAAGATCCCCATCCCTCCCACCAGGTCCAGACAGACTGCAACCCAAGATCACCCACACACCCTAGACGTGGTCACGGTCAACTCCTACGCACCCTTTAAAACCTTGCTCAGATGACAAGGTTCCTCTGTGAAATGGTCCCTGACTTCTCTCGTCCCCAAAAATACTCTGAGCCACTGTGGGCCTGCACCCACTTTCCTTTTTGCTGTGTGATGTGCCTGAGTGTCCATCTCATGCCTCTGCCCTGCCTATATGAACAGCTAGTGGTCAGGGACAGCATCCCCATTATCTCTGGGTCCTCAGCTTCCACAAAGGCTAGACACAGGACAGACACACAAGATATTTTCACTGGTTTTTGGCACATTGAGCCAGGAGCTTCAAGAGCACCCATGTGACTGTGAACAAAATACCCCTCTCTCAGACTCAGTCTCCTCCTGTGTTTTAGACAGAAGGCACTCAGCCCCCGAAGTGCGGAACTTTGAAACAAGAGTAAGACGGAACATGCAGCACAGCCAAGGCCCAGAGAAGCAGCCCTGTTCAGCCCTCCCTGCACTCACCCCTTCTTGGAGACAAGAGACGAGGGCACAAGGCCCCACCTTCAAGGAGTTTCCAGTGCCTGGGTGGGGATGGGGGGGACCACTGGACACTGCCTGTCCCAGGTCAGGGACAATTCCCCACCACCTTTCTCAGTGCAGCTTCTAATTCTTCCTTCCATGAGTGGGAGCCCTGCCACACCCTAGCCACCAGAAGAGGAGGCCTTTCTGACCAGCCCTTACACCCAGGACACCTAAATGCTGCTTGGTCACCTCGGTATCTGTCTGCATCCCAGGGATACAAGGTTGCTCTCTCCATCCCTACCAGTGCCTTCCGTCAGGAGACTCACCTGCGAGTCACGCACATGCACACACATGCGCACAAACTACACACACACACACACACCTCTCTACTCTGACAGGGTCCACATCCCACCCATTTAACACACCAAGAGTGGGCACTCCCTGTGCCCAGCTCACAGATGGACGGGGGGTGGTGGGGAACAGGGCAGGCAGTAAGTGTCCAGGATGGGCCTCGCCTAGCAGGACTCAGGGAATATGGGACAACTGAGCTGGGTTTGGAAGGATGAGAAAGAGCTGAAAGAGGAGGAGGGCCAGGTGACACAGGGCTGTTCACAGCCTCCTCAAGGTTACACGGAAGCTGAGGGAGTGGGGCAGGCCCCAGACCACCAGCATCATTTACATTTGTCCTACACTTAACCATAGGTGCCTCACTTTGTAATAAACAAAGAAGAGTCTTTGTTCATGTGACAGAAGAAGCCCGGCTAGACACCCCTAGCTAGCAGAGGGAGGGAGGGAGGGAGGAAGGGCCGGGCAGAACCAGTGTTTAGTTCAGGAAGCCTTATCAGTGCCACTCAGTGTCACTTCATATCAAAGCTTCCTCTCACCACATCCTCAGCCGGAGGCCAGGCGTGAGTGGAGCTGAAGTGCTGGACAACAGGCTGCCACGTGGCTGGCTCCAGAACCGCCTTTTGCAAACACCCACACGGCTCAGCCTCTCCCCTGGGAGGCTGGGAGGTTCCCAGACACAACAGGGCTCTGTGCCTCCTGGTGCCAGAGCCCATGAGGGCTTGGCAAGAGGGTCCCATGTACTTCAGAAAAGGGAGGAGGCCCTGCCATCCCCGCATTGTGGCCCTTGTCACAGCCTAGGACAGGAACAAGAGCTCAGGGCCAGTCTCTCCCCTTGATATGGGGAGTCCAGCCAAGCCCCTAAACAGCCCTGAACATAGGAGTGAGTTTCAAGGATACATGTCAGTGCAGGCCACCAAACTCAGAGAGAGGGGAAGCCCCCACAGGCTGCTCATCACTTCTGACCTCCCCCACCCCTGCATGAACTTCAAGACACCAAGTACTTCCCCCTCACCTCCTGTGACACATGACAGGTGGGTACAGACAAATCAGGACCAATGGTCTTAGGTCATCCAGCTGGGAGCAGCCATGACCAGGGAGGGACAAGGATCAGGCAGGGAGGGCACTGCTCAGATGAGCAGTCGTGTGACCTCTCCTGGC